GTGAGCAGAGAATTTATGAGCCTTAAATGCATATCGACGTCTCACTCCCAGCTCCAAGGTCTCTACACCTAAAAACTGACTTTGATTAGCGAAAGGCTATATTTGTGTCAAAGAGCAGGTAGTCCACATATATTAAAATACTAAATCACTATCATTATTTGGGGAACATAATAAGAATCATTAATAACAATTCTTTAAACTTTGTTTAGGGAACATAACTGATTTTAACTGTAGCGGGGGCCGTTACTGATAATCCCCAATTACACGAAGATGTGAAGTTGGAACATGCTTGAACAACTGTCAAATTTAATATCAATTAGAGGTAGGGAATCGCAGCGTATACACAATTGTTGTATAGTGGAAGTGTGTTTTAACCTTCAATATAGTTTTATATAAGCATTATACATTCAGTTTACATGTACAATTTATAAAAAACTTTTGAAACTTACAAATGCTCTTAGAGCCATAGATTCATATAAAATTGAGGCATTGGATGTTCTATACGGAGTTTACTTTTGTTTGTTGCTTGTAGTTGCAGCTATCAGAACATGAAAAATGAAACATTTATTATCATAAGATTTATATATTGTAATCATAGTAGTTAATTGTTACAAAGAATAATGTTTTAGTTTATCATCTTCATATTTGTAAGTAGTTTTTTATTGAATTACCAAGTCATAGTCAAACATTGTTATATATTTGTCGCAAATGTTTAAACCAATGCAATTCACGTGTAACAGTATTCAAAAATTGATTTCAAATTGTCTTTTTTAATGTATTCTGTTTCATTTTATCATTGTGTTTAATCACAAAAAAAATGAACATTCTAAAATCATTTTTGTAGTAAGGTATCTTGATTTTTTATATACATTTACACCGGTCACGGTAGCCTAGTGGTAGAGCGTGCGCTTCGTGATCGGGAGGCCCGGGTTCGATTCTCGATCGCAGCGCCGCGTCATACATAAGACGTAAACAAAGGTAGTGATTGTTCCTTCGCCAAGCGCTCGGCACTAGAAGTGAAAGTCACGAGTCTTTCGGATATGACCTTAAAAACGTATATCCCGTGTCCCGGTAGGCGCTGGCACGATAAAGAACCCTCACTGCTCAATGGCCCTGAGTGCCGAGTATAGGTCAAAATTTGAAGCCCTTCACCGGCATACGGTGACGTCTCCATATGAGTGAAAAATTCTCAATAGGAACGTTAAACAATATACAATCAATATATACATTTACCTTCATAAAACTGAATGTCATAGAAAATTACCTTCATTAAAACTGAATGTAAACATAATCTACACAGTAAAATAGAGAACCGAGAAAAAAATAATGAAATTTTTACCTGCTTCTGGTCTGTTTTAAAACTGGTTATATTTAGATCAATTGACTAGGTCAATACGAGACTCCTAAGCCTGTGTTTGCTTTTTATTTCTAGGAACAAATTAAACACCATGATGTTGTTTTTTACTAGCTACAGTTGCTATTGCATGACATTCAAATTTGAATCACCACTACATGGAGACAGTGAAATATCTTAAGGATAAACATGGATTTTACTTTGAAAAAATAATCTTTCACTTATATGCCTTTGATCAACGAATTTATCCCCCTAGCAAATCAAAGGGTCCAAAAATCATTTGAAAAAACTGAAAAAAATAACCTTTTTAATTCTTTTATTATTACCACTGTCGACCCCGAGAAGATAATAAAGGCCAAATGTAACCAGTACCAGTGAAGGAATCTTTTTCATTGATATGACATTAATATCAAATTGTTTATGAAGTTGTTTTCCAAAGATTACCTTTAAAAGTTACAAGATATTTACCATACAGTAAGTATGCAAAACTTTGACTTCTTGTTCAACTCATCAAATTCCGAGAGATTACTTGTATGATTGGAAAAAATTATATGTAAACATGTTTATTTATTTGTAATCATAATTACAAATATTTTCAGCGAGACTGTTGTAAATATAATTATAAATATTTTCAGCGAGACTGCTGTTCTTAAGAAGAACTTTTCTTAAGATTATTTCCCTTTATATACCGTATCCCCATGCAAAACATTCAGTCCATGAGCCACATGCACTTCAAATAACCTTAGTTTGATCCTTTTTGAATTCATACTTGTTTAAAGCCGCTTGGTCCGATTCTAATCGAGAAAAAAATTCGTTTTTCTTCTTGAAAAATAATTGTCTAAAAATTGTTTCAACTTTTATCAAATTACATCCTAAAAGTCTTTTTCTTTTAAAAGATATCAAAATTCCAATGTTAAAAAAATAATTTTTGTTAGGTCACACAAAAAATAATCCTATGTTGATATCGCGTGAAATCACCTTCGAAAAATTAAATTTATCGCTTACATGTTTATCTCATGAAGAACAAACCCGAGCATATTTTTTCACAAGAAATTAAAGTACTTATGCATGTACCAGTACACAGACAATATTTAACCCTTCGTTACCAAACTTCCTCTAACAACAAATATCTGATTTTCCTTTATTCTTTAAATATGCATAGTAATATAAAAATTACTTTGGATAATATTCAATTAATTAAAGATATATTATGACTTAGGCTTCTACTAATGGTAAAAAAAAATCGGGTTCGGTATCTTCATTATTCAATATAACCAATATATTTGTTTTTTTTCAAAGGTGACTTCACATCAGATCTTAACTTCCCGTCAGGGACTTCTGTTTGTCAATAATGTTTTTGATCTCTGTTTTCCGTGTAAAGATTGTTGTAGTAAACAATCAAATCAATCTCATAATTTATTTTTATATATTATCTATGCAATGACGTACGTTTATTGTGTAAGATAATATGTGCCTGTTTCGGATTAAGCGGCTTTGAAAAGCTTTGTATTTTTTTCATTACAGAGGTTGTCGATAAGAATAATGTTTACAGGTGAAACCTCTTCATTATAACACGTATCTCCCCTTGAAATAGGATGTGACCCTTTGTTTGAGCAAATCTGAATCCCCGTATACAAGGAATGCTTTTGAAAATTGTGAAAATGGTACAGTTTTTCTTTAAATATACAGGGGTGTAGCAACAGGGGGGGGGCCAGGGGGGCCTGCCCCCCCCCCCCCCACTTTTTTCCCCAACCAGACCTATTCTTTAGGAAATGCTAATAGAAAGCCTAGTTGCCCCCCTCCCCCCCCACCACTTTCAGTGATGTACCGAAAATGTAGTATTGGTTGGAATTGTTACTGAAAGTAGTTGACACTGAAGAAAAGTTAACCTATCCCCCCCCCCCCCCCCCCCCCCAAAATTTGATTTTTGTTTTTTTTGCAACTTTTGGGAATTTTTCTTTTTTTTTTTTTTTTTTTTTTTTTTGCTTGTCAACTTTTTCAGGTAAGTAAAAAAAAAAGCATTTCTCTGGCTGCCCCCCCCTTTGAAAAACGATGCTACGCGCCTGAAATAAGCTTTAAACTTGCAAAGTTTACAGGCGGACGGAAAGAAGAACGACCGACACTTGACGATTTTATGTAAATTACAAGTTATTTTGATTAAAGAGAGCTGGGGAAAACTTTTTGGAAGTAAAACGTTGTATCATTTATTTAATTTTTTTATGGGGAAAAGAAATACGTAGAGTATGATATCAGAAATAAATTATTAGATGAAAAATATGTAAACGGATGGTGTGTTGAAATAGATTCATTTGTCTTAATTTCAGAAGTGTAGGGGAAATATCTTTGACACTCTAGGAGGGGTGGATTGGTTCCAGAGACCTGTTGTGTAGTCATTCATTGTACATTGTACGTGTTCTCTGCAGAATTAAGAGCAAATACAAGAAAGCAATTTTCTTTAAATACATATGTATCTAAGGTTTGTTGAGAAAGTTCATACCATGATGAATTATTTTGAAAATTTCAAAGCAGTGCTTAACTAAAGGAATGAATTTTCAAGTCTAACAAAATCCAAATAATGTGCTTTAGATTTTTAGCAATTCATTTGTAGCAAGAAATTATTGGGTTTTTTCTTCCATATAAAAAAATAAATAACATATTGAAAGCACCAGAATGACAGAAATACTGGTCATTTAAAGTGAGAATATAGGATGATTTACTTTTTTTCTTCAGAGCTTATATGTATCTTGCATCAAACAAGCTGATGAGCGTACGGATAAGAACGATACGGTAAAAGAAAAGCGTTGTCATTTCGAAATTGTTTCCCGACTTGATATTTTTTGCATAGTATTTGAAAGGATCTTTTCTTCTCTGTGCTTAATGTCTATGTCACAAGTATTCGTCATCCATTTTCTGCACAGACATTATCTGTTTTAATACCTGCCCTCCCTTTTTTGCTAAAATCTTATCAATAGCAAGAATTAACTCCTTGAATATATCACAAATTGTTAATGTCTTCTCATCGTACATTGTATTTCTTTTCGAAAGTAAGAGAAAAATGTGAAATTAATTTTTTTTAACACCCATCATGTATGATAGAATGTAATAGTGATTTCATTTTTTTTATAGATTGGTTGATTGTATATTATTTAATGTCCCTCTCGAGAATTTTCCACTCGTATGGACGAGTGTTTATAATTCAACGGAGTTTCAAACATCTTTTTAGTCAAAAATTATTATAACACTACAAGAGACAGATGTAGAATTCCTTTATCAGACTAAATAGAATGTGAAGAATAAAATCAATATGATGATTACATCAAATAAAAAAAAATCTCTTAAGGTTATAGAATTCGTCAAATCATATCCTTAAGTCAGATACGGTATATGATATGAGATGTGACTAACCATTTCGTTTCTGTCTCTATTAAATACTGTCAAATTTTCGTAATATTTATTTAAGAAATTAGCAAAGACCGAACATTACACATTTATTAAGAAGAAGAGAAAAAAAATACAGCACAATCGATGTATAAAACGGCAAACAACATTACATAACATAAATCATATTTATAAAACATACAATGGAAAAAGCTAATAAGCAAATTTAAATATTTGAAAGTCTGTAATAAAGGAGAGCCACTAGATATTCTTTTACAAAATATAGCATATTCATTTAAAATCAATAAATTGTGACAAGAACAAACAAAATTGATACGATAAAAAGGGAATAAGTGCCAATATGAAGAATGTTGGAAAAAATTGTAATTTCAAGTTGAAAAAACCTCACCTTATTATAATTCACGTTAGGGTATTCTTATTCTATAAATTTGGAAGAAGTTTTAAATTCGTGTTCTCTAAACAACAGATTAATGAATTCTTTGAATCAAAAATACTTCTTAATCCAGAGTTGATCGTAGGTTTAAAGGGCTGTTTGTTCTTTGATTATAGTTTCATTAATTTATATCACAGAATACGCAGATCTGATAAACATACAAGCATTATTTTATTCGTACCAGTAATTGTTTTTACCTTCATCTAGATTTTTGATTATTAATATTCCAGATACAGTTTTTCTTTTTTTCTATACAAAATAGCGGGCTTAAGCAGTATCTGGGGGATTTACCAAAACGTTTTTCAATCATGACTTTTCACTATTTAAAATGGACATTAAAAGGCTGATTCATCCATTTTTGGTAGAAAAGTAACTTGATACTGTATTAACAAAATGTGTCTGTAAAGAAAATTGTGTCCTTATCATTCTGCTCTCTCTATTCTTCCAAAAAATATGTCCCAGCTTGGGAGTTTGAACATTTCTCATTTTTTCTTGTTAGGTTTCCAGGTCAATTGTCTTTCATGTATACATCTGCCCTAAACTTGTGAGTTTCAAAAGAATAATGCGTTCCTTTACAGCAATATTCAAACAAACAAAAATATACAATAAAAGTGTAAAATATGATGTTTTAATCTAGTGAGATAAAAATAAGTCATTTTTACAGGACTGGTTTGTAAATTGAATATCAATTCAATCGGGTAAGCACGGCATTTATTTGTCACTAATCAGATTCTTCATCAGATTCTTGATCAGGTGTTGACGGATACATCATCTAAAAAAAAGAGAAAATTAAATACTCTCATGAATATACTCTACCTTTAGCCACGTCTAATTACCAGATTGCATTTATACACGAATATGCGACACTAAGAAAAGGCCAACAAAATATTGTACAATATGGAATAAATATGACTTTAAAAAAAACAAAAACACGTACAAAGAATTAAATAATAATGCAACATTTTCTTTGTTAACTTTCAAGACGGATCTACAACGTCGTCATGGCTGCATATCCGTCGAAAATCTATAGTTTTTTCCGGTAAAAATTTTATAAGTAGCGAATCAAACAGGGAGTCAAAAATGGAATTCGATTCTTTTTTATATGCTTAAACGTATTTTTCAGGCAAAATTGCCAATTCAAATTGTCTTCTTTAATGAAATGCAAAGGAAAGCGGTATTACAAGTTTGATTGATTGATTGATTGATTGTTTAACGTCCCTCTCCAGAATATTTCACTGATATGGAGACGTCACCATTGCCGGTGAAGGGCTGCAAATTTAGGCCTATACTCGGCACTTACGGCCTTTGAGCATCTTTATCGTGCCACACCTGCTGTGAGACGGGGCCTCGGTTTATACGGTCTCATCCGAATGACCGCCCCATTTAGTCGCTTTTTACGACAAGCAAGGGGATACTGAGGACCTATTCTAACCCGGATCTCCACGGGGAATTTTTACAAGTTGAAAAAAAAAACGAAATAATGGTCATCACATTAAGATAGATGACGTGATCACTCCTACCCAAGTTCTTCTTGACATTTTCATTTACTTTACGCATATGTTTGACGGAGCGACCGTTAGTGAGGGTAGTGAATGCTACATTTTATTGTTCAGTAATTAATTTCATCTTGAGACGAATAATGGTTTAGCCAGAGCACTAAAAGGAGCAAAGAGCATGCTGGGGAAAAAGAGCGGAGAGCATGCATTGAACAGTGTCTTCTGCCTATTCCCACTTTTTAAAAATTTCATTTCCACCTATCCCCACTTGCAGATAACAATAGATGATTTTATAGTTAATTTGTTTTTTCAGTAATTTGATTAATTACACCCTTCGTAGATTTATCTGTATTTTGTACATTTTACCACAGAAAATAACGAATAAATTAATGAAAAAATGTTTTAGTTCAATTAAATATATATGGATTTGAGAAAAATAACGAAGAAAAAAAGCCTTACAGGATATCTTAATTCTAGATCATAAAATAAACAGATTTTTTGGCAAAACATTGGAATAGCTGGAATTTAAAATGAACATTGTGAAAAATGATTTAATTCCCTTATTTTTCATTCAAATATTAGTAAAAAGGAATCTAATTTATAATTCTAAAAAGTAAAATATACCAGTCCTCTATTCCAACAGGTATTCATTGATAATTATTGATTATTGTTTACATAGTAATTACGTGTTTTCATAATTAATTGGAATTGTCCTTTCCTGTGAATGTAATTTGTTACGTATATACTAATGGCCTATGTATAAAATACATTAAAAAATTACGAAATCCATCGGGATCGATATACGGTTCCGTAACCACGTGTAAACATTATGGCATCCTGCGTCGTAGTTGTACGTCCTCAGAAAAAGATTCAGGTGCGTGAATATTGTCAACGAGTCTTCAGATTCTGGCTCTGATTTTGATGAATATGATTCTGACAGCGAACATTTATTTGGCAGCGAGACGGATGTAGTGATGATGGTCCCGTGATGATTGATACCGAATCAACAATGTTTGAATTTCAAAATAGAAACAGGTAGTTGGATCTTGGTTTATAATACTATGTACCTTATAAAAAGGCTTATTGATATGTAGGAAAAAAAATAAACAATTTTGATGGGGACTTGATTATGTACAAGAGAAGATTTTTTTACAAGACAATATCAGGTCTGGTACATTCACTAGATTTAGCTACGTAGCTTGATTTACCTACTTCGTTAGCTTTATTTACCTACCTTAAGTAGCTTTATTAATTATTGAGCTCTGTACCAAAGTAATTTATTTCTATAAAAAAAATTCTACCTAGTACGTAGCTAAATCTAGTGATTGTACTCGACCTGAATATATACCTAGCAAACCTGTCAAGAGAAATTTCAAGGTTGGTACATGAACATGTAGCAACAAAAATATCTGTATAATTTCAACAATATTGCAAAATATTCACATCTGCAGAATTATAAATAGCATAAGTAGCCTTTGTGGGGTGATGAAGAGGGAATGAAAAGTTGAATAGGTCCAGGGTTTTCAAAGACTGTTTACTAATAGGGTACGTTAAGAATTAGATAGATGGGTCTTCACTGTCGATGAAATCACCATTATTGTCTCATATGTGGGATGCATGATTATAAAGAATCTCATTTAGCAAAATATTTTTCACATATTTATGAGATGTTATGAAGATGGCTACACTAATGATTTTCGGCTTTATGGAATAGTAGAATTTTCTTTATGGGAGATTACAATTACTAGAAAAAAAGTTGTTGTCAAATACTTGTGCAGACTGCAGACTTTTCAAATTGAGGTCACCATGTGTTCCTTGACAGGTTTGTGTTTAAAACAACTAATATTATAAATATAAGTCTGGGAAATTGTACTTTGTAAAGAATATTTCATTTTATTCTTATATTTCTCGTGCAATTTCAGATTATTCAAATTCATTTCCCTGGTTAGGGCTGGGCTTTACAATGGGATTTTCAGCTGTGGAGCTATAAAGAATAACTACATAGAGTTTCCAATGTAGTTTTGTGAACAGAATCCAGAAATAAGAAGAGGAGAGACAATGCAGCAAAAGCATTACCAATTACTTGCCACTGCTGAGAAAATGGTAAAGATATGTTATACTATAATAGGAATTGCCTTGTCTATCTGTCAATTTGCCAGATGCATTTTTCCTTATTCTGTTACTTTACTTCAAGGATATACTGTAAACCAACTTTTATTCGCGACAATTTTATTTCGCGATTTGCCGGAGGTAAACCAGTTCGCGACGATTAATTTTCGCGATAAAGCCTATTAAGGTTTCTTTTTAATAGACACATAGACTTTAAGAACCGGTTCGCGGCGAGAAATATTCGCGATGACGAGGCTCTCGCGAAATTCACGAAAATTTCTCCCACGCGAATAAAAGTTGGTTTACAGTATGAAGCTCTTGTTTTCTTCAAAGATAACTAGAAGAATTTGTGAAGAATCTTACCAAGTCATTTGATGACATTTTCTTCAATTGGAAAATATAAATGTAGCATTATTATCCACTTGACAGTTATTTTAAAAGTCTTAGAATATGTCTAGTATGGTTTATTTCAATTTAATTTGAAAACTGTCCTTTTTCTCGAGTACATGCTTTGAGTACTACTTTTATGTATTTGGAGACAGTCCAGTTCTTCTTTAAACAAGGAGTGGAAATTTCAGTGCTTGTTCAATTTCTCCAGAAGTTATTGGATGTTACATAGGAAGAAAATGGGGTCATACTGAACAGAATAGTTTGGATACACCTTATAGATTTTGAAAGCTTGAGACCAAAAGATCAACACAAATGGTGTACCAAACATGAAGAAAAGAAGACAGTTTATGATTGAAGAAGCTTGTGTAGTAGCCAAAATGTCAGGATATTTCATATATGTTAACTTATACGATTTTACTGGTACATGTACTTAAACATTGTTAACATCTTGATATTAAATATGCATCAGGTTTCACTTGCAGGAATACACAAAAATTCGGAGTAAATTTTAAGTGTTTATTATGTTCGAAACGATCAAAGTTCAAGGTCAACAGTGCTTTAGTTTTAACAAATATAACACTATTATGAAGACTAATTTCCTGTATACGCATGTACAGGTATAGCAAATAATTCAGAATATGATTTGGGAAACTATGATTTTTTCTTTTAAATCTTATCTTAATTTAGAACCATGATGTATACTTAAGCAAGTAGATTTTTTTGAAGCATACTTAATTTCAAGGTCATTTTAATTTTGGAAGTGAATATAAAATATCAAGAAGCAGTCAAGCATTGAAATTTTTTTGTTGTTGAATGTACTTAGTTATTGAGTAAAATTCAAATTTCAATCTGCAATGAAATTAAAAATAATAAATGTTCTAATTTGTTGATTTTTAAAACTTGGTGTTCATTCATTTTGAGTTTGTTGCCATGACAATATGTCTGTCAAGAAATTGGCTCTGATATTCCTTTTTGTTCAGTTTGACCCTTGACCTTTGACATTGTGACCTCAAAATCTAAAGGGGTCCTCAACTTTTCAAGAAACCAGTGTACTAAATTTGATGTCTGTCAAGCAATGGGTCCTCAAGATTTTGAATGATTAAAATCTACATACTGGTGTATCGAGAATTATAACCCTTGACCTTTGACCTTGTGAACTCCAAATTAAAAGGAGCCATCTACTTATTAGTAGGTACCAGTGTACTATGTTTATTATCTATCAAGCAAATGTTTTGTTTTTTTTAAGATAAGAGAGAACATACTTGGTCTACTGATTGACAAACAGGTTCTAAGCAGTATGTGAATATCACCCTGCTCAAAGAAAATGTAAAATAATACAATTCTGGTACCCCCCCCCCAATTAACCCCATTTAACCCCCTAAGAAATAATTATTGACTGAAAACAAAAATGTACAACATACTGGTATTTTTCTACAGCAAAATTTAAATTTTTGAAAATATTTAAATCAGCAAAATAACTCCTTGCTGAAGTTCAGGGATGAGAAATTTTGAAAATTCACAAAAAAATGTTTAACTTTAAGTAAAAAGTAGGGATTTTAAATCGGTCGATTTTTAATACTCGGTTACTCGGACGTTTTTCCGATCGAGTACCCGGGTACTCGGTAAAAGTGTAAATAAATATGAACAAGCAAATTGAAAAGTATAAAACATTGTAAACTCTTGTAGAAATAAAACCAGATGCACTGATAGGAGACCTATCCGTGAATGTTTTTCTGTCATAATAATGATGAGCACTTCGTGCCCGACGAAATTTAAT